AGGCTGGCGGGGGGGGGGGGGTAGGATCATTTCCTCCTGGCAAATGTAGCCTTACAGACCCCACCTATGCCACCCTTAAGGTGGTCATGTAGCCTGGTGGCCAGGTTATTGGGTAAACTTCCTCTCTCCTTGTAAGGTCCTGTTCAGCAAGCACCTGGAATTCCTCTTTATGCAAATAAGGCATTTCCAGCACCTTGGCTCCCAGCCAAAGATATATACTCACCCTGAAAGCCTCTGCCTACTCCCCAAAGGTTTAAATAGCCTTTGTTCCCCACAGTTAAGCAAGCTGTCTCACTGAAGCTGTCTCCTGAGAGGCCTGTTTCTCAGGGCTCACCCGAGGCCTCCATCCCCAGCCATTCCTGCCTTGCTCACTCTTCCAGGATCTGCTGGGCAGTCACCCCATTATGGAAGGGGAAGTGAGGTGCCAGGAACAGCAAAAGGCCATCATCATTTTTCACTTAGAAGGCTTTTAGAGCCTTACTTTTTAATTTCTTGCTCTGGGCATTTGTGAGTTGAGTGTAGGTCGCTTGACTCTGGGTATAATAAATGTTGCAGACATTTGGAAGATGCAGCTCTGGGAGATAAAATGACTGTCAGAGCCAGGTCTTTAGCAAAACTTTACAGTGCTACAGCTGGAATTGGTTCACAACTGTAATCTCTGCACAAGGGAAGCTGGAGGAGGGGGACTGCCGGAAGTTTGAGGCCCAGCCTGGGCTACATAGTGAATTCCAGGCCAGCCTGAGCTATATGGAAGACCTTGTCTCAAACCCCCAAAACATTCTTTCACAGCGTGGAGGTTTTACAGTCAATGTCTTAATGTGAGTAACTTGAGGGTTTTCCTAGGTTACCTCTTCTGCTTTTCACTGATCACTGACTCTGCACGGAAGAACAGAACTGAAGGAGGGCAGTAAAGCAAGGCCCTGAAATGTTCAGGAGCCATTGCTGCAGCTTTTGGGAAGAGATTTAATAGTTTCCAGTTTCTTAAAAGTTTTTAAAAATGTTAATTAACCTATCTGTTTTTCCATTTTATGTGCACTGGAGTTTTGCTTGCGTGTATGTCTGTTGTGAGGATGTCAGATCTTGGAGTTGCAGACAGCTGTGAGGTTGACGTGGGTGCTGGGATTTGAACCCAGTTTCTCTGGAAGCAGCCAGTGCTCTTAACTGCTGAGCCATCTCTCTAGCCGTTTCCAATTCTTTTTGTTTGTTTGTTTGTTTGTTCATTTTACCTTGTTTTGATTTTCAAGACAGGGTTTTTATCTTTAGCCTTGGCTGTCTTGGAACTCACTCTGTAGACCATGCTGGCCTCGAGCTCACAGAGATCCTCTGCCTCTGTCTCTGCCTCCTGAATGCTGGGATCAGAGGTGTGAGCCACCACCCAGCTAGTTTCCAATTCTGAATCCCTGGAAGGCACTGGAATAAGAGGAACATGTGTGCTTCTTAATTAATAAAGAAACATTTTGAGAAGACAAAGAAATGTCTACTGATTTGTGTGGAGGAAGGAGGGGGAGAAGAAAGGGGAGGGAGAGGCTGGAGTGGCAATGGGCACTCAGGAAGGCGTCCTCCTGTGCTGTCGGCAGTCCTCTGGACACATGGGCTTCTGGAATTTTGTCAACCCTCCTTGTGTTCTTGGACTATCCCATTAAGCATGAAAAGTGCTGTGAATGTGCAGCGCAGAGAATGTGCAGCACTCTGCGCTGCCCAGTGGCCTTGACCAGCCCTCTCTGCCCCCTGCTCTTTCTCTGGCATGCTCCAGAGAGTCCCTGTAGGTGTCTAATGTGTGTAAGCGCATTGAGGGCTTTCTGCACAGACCTTTACCCTCGCCACACTGGGAAGCCCTTCAGGGGCTTTGATTGTTCTAGTGCTCGAAAAGCACGAGCATAAGCAGCACGTGACCTTTTTTTTTTTTTTTTTTAATTCCTGGAAGTCCAATGAGCCATTAATGCAGATACATTATTGTTTGTTATTATTTTGAACTTCAGTTCAGTGAAGTCCTCTAAGAAATGCTTGTAAGCTTGCATTTTGCCCAAAAGACCAACAGCACAGTCTGATTTCTCTGTCTGACGATGGTCACCCTCCTTCCAGAGATCAGCAGGATCTGATTCTAAACCACACAAGGAGGTCTGCCCTGGGCACCACAGTAAAAACCACATTCTCCAGGCCAGCCATTCTGACAGACCAGGCTGAGTTAACAAGAGGCACGATTCTAAAGTCCATTAACTTTATTCCTTGGCATCTAGGAAGCTCAAGCAACTGCAAACACATGTGCGCACCATGTATCAGTTGGCTGAGCCACTTCAAGAAACCGCACCATGCGTTTGTGGGCTGCAGAGCTGGCACTGTAACAAAGGCCACTCTGCTGGTTCAAAGTGGGGCTGCCTGAGGAGAGAGAGCATCCGACCCTGAAGTCCTTCTGACCTCAGCCTTGAGCACCATTCTATCTCCCTCCCACAGTCCAGGGCATTTATGGGCATATGGCTTGATTGTCATTACAAACTTTGTTCTGAGGGAATCAAAGATCCTAATTCATAACAAAACAAGGAACATATGGGTTGCTGAGCTTGGGAAATAAAACTCTGCAATCTCGAGAGCATGAGCACAAGGTGCCTATGGGAACTTGCTAAGGGTGTGGAGAGGAAGGAAGAGGCATGCTGCAGAATAAACTCAGGGTCACACTAGTCTCCTCTGGATGACCACGCTGGGTGCTGACGTCATTATTTTTTGTACTGGGGATGAAACAAGGCCTCCCACCAGGATGTAGTGAGCTACACCCCAGCCTGATATTGACGCATCTTAACTTTTCGCCTGCCGTGGAAATGGTAGCTGTGGGATTGCCACTAATGTTTTGTTTTGCTTTGCTTGGAGTCAAACAGTCCTGCCTTAGATTCCTAAGTGCTGGTACTGCAGTACAGTGACGAGCCACCAGGTCCAGATCACACTTGTTTATACCAAAATCACTCTGAATCAGGCTGACTTTGAACTCGTGGCAATCCCCCTGCCACTGCCTTCCAAGTTCTGATATTACAAGCCTGAGCTACCATGCTAGGCCCACACTTTCTGGTTAGTTTCTTCTTCCTTGCAAAGATCTGATTTTTCCCTCCTAAAATCTAGAAAATCCCCACTATCTGCATGAGTCAATGCCACCAGCTTAAACATTGTAGAAAATGGTGGGAACTGAAAAAGATCATCCTGAGTGAGGTATCCCAGAAGCAGAAAGACACACACGGTATATGCTCATTTATAAGTGGATATTGGACATATAGTACATGATAAACATACTAAAACCTGTCCACCTAAAGAAGCTAAGCAAGAAGGAGGATCCTGGGTAAGATGATCAATCCTCACTCAGAAAGACAAATAGAATAGACATCAGAAGAGGGAGAAATCAGGCAACAGGACAGGAGCCTACCACAGAGAGCCTCTGAATGACTCTACCCAGCAAGGTATTGAAGGAGATGCTGAGACTCACAGCCAAACTTTGGGCAGAGTGCAGAGTGCTTTCTTATGAAAGAAGGGGGAAATAGGGGGACAGGAGCTTCACAAGGAGAGCAACAGAACAAAAAAATCTGGGCACAGGAGCCTTTTCTGAGACTGATATTCCAACCAAGGACCATTCATGGAGATAACCTAGAATCCCATGGCAGCTCAGTGTCCAAGGGGTTCCCTAGTAATGGGACATGAACCCAGTGGCTGGGTCTTTGATCACCTCACCCTGAGGGAGGGGTGGCCTTACCAGTCCACTGAGGAAGACAATTCAGCCAGTCCTGATGAGACCTGATAGGCTAGGGTCAGAGGGAAAAGGAGGAAGACCTCCCCTATCAATGGACTGGAGGAGGGGTGTAGGAGAAGATGAGGGAGGAAAGGTGAGATTGGGAGGGAATGAGGGAGAGGGCTACAGAGAGAGGGAAGGATGCAAAGTGAATAAACTGTAATTTATAAAAAATAAATTAATTTAAGAAAAAAAATATGTGACTATTTTTCCATCAGTAAATGAGCCCCCTTTTAGAAGGACTGTAAAATGTTTCAACTGAATGCAAATTACATCATAGAAGTTCAGAATTTTTATAATCCCAAGAGAGCAAGGAAGGCATGCTGAAACTAGGTGTTTGTACTTCCACTGTGCTTGCTAGCTCTCTCCGTTTCCTCCCCAAAATCTCTGCAATTGCATCTAGTGACGTCACCTTTAGAAAGACTAAATGGTTTTACTCCCATTTCATTTACGCTTTCACCAACACAGAAAAGCAAAGAAATCCGACAGTCTCATATGAGCACGCATGGCCATCCATTGCTTCAGAAATGCACAGAGGTCACCTTGCATGGAGCAGAGCCTGGTGGTCAGATTAAGAGCTGCCGCCTCCGACTCCCTGCGCAACACCGGCTTGTTGCCTGGCTTTGTGGCAGTAGTATCTAAGCTGGATTTTACCCTTTGAGGTGGTTGGAGGAAGGGGCTGGGGTGAAAACTACTTTGTGACATTGAAATTTCATGGAATTGAAATTTCAGTCTTTATAAGTCAGGTAAGTCAGGTTTGGGGCTGGCAGGACGGCTCAGTGGATAAAGGTGCTTGCGCCAGGCCTGGCGATAACTTGCACTGGATCCTTGGGACTCACAGGATAGAAGGAGAAAACTGACTCCCACAGATTGTCCTCCGGCCTCCACAGGTGTGTCACTGCACACACATATACGCTAAACAGATGTAATACTAAACAAGTATGTACACAAGGCCTTGTTGGAGACCGGCCTTGCTCAAGGGTTTGTGAAGTGCCAGCCATAGCTTCGTTGGGGCAGTTGACCAGCTCCTAAACTTCACATTGCCATGATGACAGGAGGTCCTCAAAGAGGGCGGGGGGGGGCGACCAGTTTTTATGTGTCACTGTTTGCCACAGACACACCTGACCTTCCTAGATACCAGCAACTGCGTAAGCAAGCAAGGCTCACGGCCCCCAAAACAGCAGAGATGATTCTGTGTAACTGTGCTCCACTAACAAGGACTAACTGTAAAACAAGCATCCCCCAAGGAACTCACACCATAAAATATTTATTAAAAAATTTTAAATGATTTTCTCCTGCTTTGGTTATTAAAGATCTTTGATTCCTACCTCTGCTGATACCAACCGCCAGCACTAATGTGACATTATTCCTGTCATCATGAGATGATTGACAGCTGACAGAAGGCTAGATGAACGACGCTGTGGGTAGAATGTACAAAAGACCAACCTTCACAGTTATTTAACAAATTTTGGCTTTGCTAGCAGTTGGAAACTTACTTACAACATATTTAAACTTTTTTTTTTCATAAGTGATCAACATACAAATTCACTTGAATTTGATAACTTAAAAACATTGGCATTGAATACAGAGCTTGTTGAAGACTGGGGAGGAAAAAGGACAGGGATCCCATGTCTCCATGAAGATCTTTTCTTCTGGATTTCCTGCTGCTGGAAGAGTAAACCATTCTGAAAACGAGAGTATAAAAAAGCCTCCAGAGTTGCAAAGTGGTTCATGTCTGAGGTTTGAGTGCCACCCGTGTCCCCAGGATGGCTGACGACCTACACTGAGCATTTCCGCAGCACATTGCCTTGCCTTTTTTTTACTGATCATCATCAACACATCGACAATTTCCTGCCCTCGGGGCTAGTTAGACAAGGAGATCCTGCAGCCTGGCAGAACAAAACCAAGCACCAGGCCATAGCACATGGCAAAGTTAAAAGTAACTTGGAGAGCAGCAGCTCATGATTTCAATTTAAAAAAAAAAGCATCAAATTACATCTCAGGTCCGCTGTAGAGCCAGGAAATAAAAGGGCTCCACAGAAAAAAAGGGGTGAATGGATTCAGTGCCACTCTGCCCACAGAATTCTGAATACCTTCACTAGATAATACATTTTCTTTCCAGCTCTTTAACTTCATAATACGATCTCCACACACAATTATCAAAAAAAACCCCACAAAATAGCCTCCCCAAAAAGCGTAAAAATAGACAGACTATATCTTGTACAGTGAAATTAAGACATGCCTCCAGAACACTGAGGCTGATGACTAGTCTCAGAGTTCAAGCTGGCTTCTTTTCATAATAATTATATAATTTACATCTCCTTTCAGCCTTGAACACTGATTTAAAAAAAAAAAACAACACAACAAAAACAAAACAAAACTCAGCGCAGGTAAAGGGGAGGTAACAGGCGTTCTCTGGTGCGGCTGAAACAGAAAGAAAGAAAGAACGGCCTAGTACAACCTCTGACTGTAACCTCTGACTCTGGCAGCCACCCCTCAAGGACACTTAGGGGCTCAAGCATGTGTCACATGCTTGAGGATGGAGGTGGCAATTCCAGGGGCTGTGGTTTTCCACTTTGACTCAAAATACATGCACAGAGACCGCTGCTCTGTGTGCTGTTCTTCTCAACAGGCTAGGGGCACAGGAAGCTATCCAGAAGGACAGTGATGAAAACACCACCAACTTGTGCTGACTTCCGGTGCAAGCCTCTGGCCCTGTTTTGCTCAGTCTCACACAGGAGTCTAGTGGGTGACCTGCAGGCTATACGGTCACCGCAGGATACATCTTCTGCTCACTGTTAGTGTGGGCAAAGGGGGGCTGCACCTGTCTGTAGCTGGGCTGCAGGCCATCCATGAATGGCGGCACTGGCGTCATGGGCACAGAGTCATGTTGTACGGCATACCCTACATATGGAGTGTGCAGGTACTGGCCTTGATGGGGTACGATCTGGGTGGCCTGCTGACAGTTCAGTACGGAGAAATTCGTGGGCATGTTGACATATACATTGTTCATGGTTCCCTCGGGCAAGCAGCAGTTGGTCTGTGACCTCGTTGGGGGAGCCCGGGCCCCCGAGTTCGCGCTGGAGCTGGAACTGGCAGCCGTGCTGGACTGACGAGAGGATGAGCCCCTGGAAGTGCTGGCACTGGGGATCATGGGGATGGTCTCCATCAGTCGGGTGCCCCCCGGGGCTCTGCTCTGCTGGGGGTCCTGTTTTGGCCGGAGACATCTGCAACAGCATGCTGCTACGAGGGAACCGAGGATGATGAAGGCAACAAACACAGAGCCGACGATGAGGAATGGCACGTAGATGGGGACTGGAGAAAGAACAGAGAGTTAGCGTTATGATTCACGCCAGAACATCACAGTGCTGGTAACACAGTGGCCAGCAAAGGCCAGGGACAGATGTACAACTGACCCTCAGAAGCGAAGGACAGAGGCCAGGCCAGCTTGGTCACAGGTCAGAGGTACACAAGATGCAACTTCCATGGCCAAGTGCTTTGGAGAGCTGCCAAGGCCCCACAGGCAATGCAAGGCCCCTGGAAGCTAAACTTCGTTATCCCACTTACATTCCCCTAATACAACAACAGACACCCATATCCAAATTGGCAAAGCACAGGCTTGATCTAGGCGATCCCACAGTGGCCAAGCAGCCTAAATAAATGTAAGTCTTCCCTAGCAGGCAGCCATGGGGTCTGAACGGAAATGAGTTTACACTTCCCTGAATCCCCCTTTTTCTTCTAGTAAGTTTTCCATGTTCCTCGACTTCTTTTTGCCATTATTTTTAACAAGTTTCTTTTCTTATAGGCAGAACAATAAAAAACAAAACAATAACAACAACGAAACAAATAACTTAGGTCAGATTCTGAGCCACTGTCATTTCCAACAGAAACTAAAACATTGGAGAGCACGGGGAAGGGGAAGAACAAAACACACTCTGAGCCAAGGAGGTGCCTCAGCACAAAAAGGCTCTTGCCACCAAGCCCAGTGACCTGAGTTCAAGAAGGGGAGAACCAGCTCCTCTAAGTTGTCTTCTGAACTCCAGACTTCCTTATGCACACTCAGCGCGTGTGCATGTGTGCGCGTGTCCTCTCTCTTTGCCTCACACACACACACAACAGATAAAAAGTATATACGTGTGTATATACATATGTTTTTTATAATATATATACATATATATATATATAAAATAGTAAAGAAGTGCACAAATCTAAAAGAAAAAAACCCATCTAAAAACCCATCTTCATAAAAGTAGAGCATAGAAAGGCTATCAGAGGCTGAGGATGAGTCGGAGGAAGAGGGAAGGATGAGACGAGCCAGTGGGTACTAAGCCATTCTGACAAATAAAACCACACAATAACCATAAAAGCCTGTTAGCAAAACCAGTAGAATAATGAACTTCATTTTAAAATTATTTTCATAAAAAAAAATCTTTTCGGGAACCTGGCACGGTGTCTCACAGCTTTAACCTCAGCCCTTGGGAAGCTGAGACAAGAAAACTGTATTTGAGTTCAAGGCCAGCCCGGCCTATAAAGTGAGACTTTGTCTTAATGTATATTTTAATAATATGCTATATTTTAGTATAATTTATTTTTTAAAATAAATTTTTTTTAAACTGTGGGAGCCATAGGAATGACAACCACACAGAGCTAGCAAGCCATGTGAGCGAGCTGTCCCACAGCCTGTTCAGGACGAAAACAGGCAGGAGGAGCCTCCGGAGAGCCTCTGAGCTACTTCCGTAAAATTCTACTACATTCAAGAAACTGCTGTATTTTCTGGTTTGTTCCAGACTCAGTTCCCCACTTTTGGGCAGGAGTGGGAGTGAATGTGAGACGCTGGGACTTGAACTCGAGGCCTTTGCCACCTATGTCCTGGGAGATAGCATCGTTTGCATACCACACAGAATCACAGAGAAATAGGCTTGTAACTGGGCAGTGGCCACTGCAGAGCAGAGCCACTTCACCACACCCAGGGTGCCCTCAGCAGACCGGAAGGCTAGCTGCCGTCTGCAGCCCAGCTGGCTCCCACAGCTGTACTGCTCTCGTTATGCCAACACTGCAGGCCAAGTCCAGGACTGGAGCAGTGAAAGCCACGCTTTCTCCTACACACACTATAAATATTCCACTCCCTATGCTGAGATACCAGCCCCCGCAGGTTATAAGAAGTAAACAACAACAAGAACAACAACAAAAAACACACAGGTAAGTTTTACCTCCAATACGATAGCGAAAACTAGCTGAAACCACTCAGCCCACATAATGAGTTTTGGGGAGAAATAACTGTTCTCTTTCCAGGATTTTTAATTGGAAGTGTAAATAACTCTACAAGAGTAAAAGAATGCGGTGCTACCAGAAGCCCCCACCCCCTACCCCAAAGGCTTAATTGGGTGTGTTGTCCTTCCCTAAAGAAGAACTGTGAAAGGAGCAGGAGGCTTAAAGGGAAAATTTAGGAGCACAGTAAAGGGTGCCCATGCCCAGTACCAGCTGGATGAGAAAGCTGCTGCCTCCAGCTCTGGCCAATGCCATCCTGAGTTTTTAGGCATTATGAACAAGCCCAACTCAACAGACACCTTATTGTAGCAATTTGGCTCGTTTCTCCAGGCTTTATTCCCAGACCACACACTCTGCGAAGCTGAGCTGGAACCTTCTCTAGAATGACCCTAAGTTCTCCTCTCTTCAGACTCAAGTCAGTGGAACTGTAGGAGTCGCAAACTTACAAAGTGCTCGCCTGCAAAGAGAATGTCAGTGAAAAGCCTCTGGGCGGGAGGCTGCTCTATAAACCAGAAACCACCTGTGCCAATGCTCAGGCAACTCCAAGCCTGAAGCACTTACACACACACACACACACACACACACACACACACACACACACACACTACACACACACACACAATTTGGCAGCCTCTCCTTTGAGGAAATGCAATGAACTAAATTATTTTACAGGCTTATTTTCAAAATCTGGCTTTGACTATTAACAAATTATCCAAGTCTCAACGAGCAAGGCCGGGCACCGTTGCAGTGTCCTGTCTATCAAGTCTGCCTAAGGAGACCAATCTAGATTCCCAGAGGCCTCACGGTCACTGGGAGCCCTGCACTGGCTCCTCCGGGTGAGACTGGGTGTGAAAAAGGTGTGTCACCCACGGGAATCCATCCCCTACCTTCCTTCTGAGGACCCTCGGAGGAGAAGCCTTTGAAGACGGGCCTTCTCCAGAGGGATGCACCCTTGCCATTTCCTTGCGTATTCTCAATAAATGAAGTCTAGTGGAAGCCAACAGAAACAACGCGTTTTGTCTCGAGTTCTGTGTGACTTCACACAAAGTTAATGAGTAGGGAAAACAAACAAACAAACAAAAGAAAAAACTCGGGCTTTTGTTCCCAGGCCCTTTCCTAAAATCTCCAGGCTTCCAGGTCCCTGTTGCCCAGGCAAAGCAGCCCCTCCCGCCCCCGCCCCAGACGGCTGCTGCCCTACCTGCCGAGCTGTCCGGCCCTTCTCGGTCTGTCCGGCCAGGCTCCCCTACGCCCTGCTGGCGGTCGTTGTCGCAGCCGCCCTGGTCCAGGCGCGCCTCGGCGCTGGAGCAGCAGTAGCGCAGCGCGCAGCTGCCGCAGCAGATGGTGGCGTCGCCGCCGTCGAAGCGCTCAGGGCACTGGAAGCCGATGCGCCAGACGCCCTGCGCGTCCAGCCAGCCGTGGCAGTACTCGCCGCTGGCCCGCGCTCCCGCCGCCAGCAGCGCGGCCAGCAGCAGCTGCAGCAGCGACGCGCGGTGCCCGGAGGAGGTAGAGGGTGAGCAGCGTCCGCCCCACATGGCACTGCCCTGGGCACCGGTGATGTCTCTAGAGGACACAGATCTCCCCCGAGAAGTTATGGCTCGGTGGCGGCCCCAGAGGCTTTCCGTGAGGGCCACTCCCCTCTGTCGCGAAGCGCAGGCTGCAGAGCCAGGGTCTAAGGCATCCTCCTTGAGAGTGAGCCGGTCCCCCTAGACTCTGCCTTCACAGGGGCATCACCGAAGGAGCGTTCCTGGAGTCCTGCCTGACTTGCGATCCGGCCTTCCCGCGCATCCCCGAGGGGACGCCTTGCTGCCGACTAGGAGGCAGGCCGCGCGGCTGGGGCGTTCCGGGGTCGGAGTCCCGTGGGTGGGTGCGCTCCCCCTCTATTCACCTCCCGGTCGGGAAGCGGCGAAGGCGGCGGGCAAGGCGCGCCGAGCTCCCGGCGGCAAGTGCGGCGGCCGGCTGCGCTCTGCCTCCTCGGCTCCGCGCTCGGTCCTCATGGCTCCGGCCACCGCTGCAGGCGCTGCGAGTGTCCGCACCTCCCCTGCAGTCCCGGAGCCCGCCCGGCTGGCGGCGGCCGCGGCTGCTGCTGGGCTCGGGGCCAGCGGGCTGCGCTCCCCGGCTCCTGCCGCAGCCCGCCGCCGGTCCCCTTCTCCCTGTCCCTGGTGCGCTCCCGGCACTGCGCTCCGCTGGGGGCCGCCCACGGAAGTTTCGGTCCCTCGGGCTACCGGGGCGGAGGAGCGCGCGGCCACCCCACGCTCGCCCGGCGGGGCCACGGGCCAGCTCCGACTGCCGGGCTGCGCGCAGCGCTCCGCTCTTAAGAGGGGCTGGAGGCTCCCCTGCGCGCATGCGTGCTGAGCGGGTTTTCCCTCCGCCTTGGGACGCCAGGGGACACTCGTAGCCCTTCGCTTTGCCACACCAAAGGTGTGGCGGTGGCCAGGCAGCGGTGTGAGTGAACAGAACAGGCGTGTGGGAAAACACGTTTTATGTCAGCCACCCCTTGGAAGCACAGTTAAAGCCAGGATAGCAGGAGCAAGTGTGGCTCTCGGTCAACCAACATTCTGAGTTACTCCGACAACCCTCTAAAGGAATAATTACTAATTACTTTCCATGTTACAGACGTCACTCAGATAGACTTGTCTTGCTCAGCTTCCAGGCTCCAGGCCCAGGAAGAACATAAACACGATCTGAGCTGACCTCCCGGAGCCACTGCACGGCAGGCTGAAGAGGTCAGCGAAGACATCCATGTTGGATCTCACTGTCCGACTGGTCGGTGGGTTTCTTTTCCCTCTGGAGTTGAGGGTGGTGATGGTCGAGGTCCTCCTGCAGAAAGGTGCCTCGGTGGCACATTTGACCTTGTTGGCTTAGACAGCTGCAGCCAGGAAGAAGGCAAGGCTCCAGACGCCAGAGATTCTCAGAAGAAACGAATAGCTTCGCTCTTGAGGCCGCTGAGCAGGTGCTGATGCTATTAAAGTAGCGATGAGTATTTTTAAAAGAACTACCGCGCCTTTCTCCGCCAGAGTCAGTCCGTGTGAATTCTAGACCCAGCGCCTCTAGCAGGAACCATCGCGTGCTGCTGGGCTCTGTTTGTGTATCTAATGGCGCGCCAGCTGTGCCAGCCACAACTGCAGAACACAAAGCAATTTTATCCGTGGCAAAGACCCTTTGGGCTAAACACACTACAGGGCTCTTGATGCACCCCTCAGCGCAGACAGTGAGCATTAGTAGCCTCCCCTCACTCCAAAGATGCTCACAGAGAAAGCTCCGCTGCGTGTGTCTGTGCTCACAAAACACCTCTATTCTAACCATCTAAGCTGCCTCCAAGTACTGCAATCCCCAGAGCTCGTGTCTGAGAATAAAATGTCCTACCACTGGGCTCCGCTCCAGTCCTGACATTAGATATTCTAAATGCACCAAACACCAACCTTCTACAGGCTTAGAAATGAACAAAACTTCAACACCGAGGAACCACTCATTTCAAAAACACACTGTGTGCTGAGTACTGGGGATTCACCTGGAAGCCAGACACCTTGGCCATTTCCCTCAAGCAGCGTTGTCTCCAACCCTCATACTAATGAGGCCCAACCCTGCTTAGCGTCGGAGATCAGATGACATTGGGCACAGTCAGGGTGTTATGACCAAAAACTCAGGCAGACCCTAAAGCTTCTGAGTTAACAGAAAAGCTGGACTGAAACATAATCAAACACGTAAAAACAATACAAGTATGATGGTCTACCAGCACAATGTACAGGGCCAGTTTCTGTATGGGAGATGGATATTCATATGTTTGCATACACACGTATGTCCACATACATGAGCATGGGTGTGGTGGCCAAAGGTTGATGTCAGGCCTCTTTCTCAATGACCCTCCATTTTGAGACGCCATGTCTCACTGAACCTGGAGTTCACCAACTGAGCTAGACTTCCGGGCTTATAAACCCCAGAGACTTGCCTGTGCTCCTCTCCACCCCACCCCCAAAATGAGATTACAGGCCAGTGCTATCACACTTAGCTTTTCAGTAGGTGCTGGGATTTGAACTCAGGTCCTCATACTTGTTTAACACATTCTTTACTGACTGATCCATGTGCCCCTTTACAGGACCAGTTGAAACACACAGGGTGACATCAGGCTGAAAGGAAAGGCCAGGAAAAATAATCAGAGAAATGAGGACTGGTATTTAAAATTAGGCCCCAAGAAGAGACAGTATAAATTGATTTTTACCTGGTAATTCTGAGGGTTAGTACTTTTCTAAAATTTATTTTGTTTTTAATTAGGTGTCTAAGTGTATATGAGTGGGTGTGAGTTCAAAGGCCAGAAGAGGACATTAGATCCATGTCCCTTGCAAATGCTAGGAAACTAGCTCCAGTCTTCTGCAAGTACGTTAGTACTGTAACCATTTCCTTAATTGTTGTTGTTTTGATGTAAGGTGTTTATACTTAGTGTGGAGAATACGTGTTCCATACCCCCTCTTCCTCTCCCACTTACGTGGGTCTCAAAAGCACTCACAGTTTGTCTAGGGTTCATGAAGAAGTTGTTGATCATTTCACCTTGAATTGGTCAGATGCTTGGCTGGGCAGGGGCTTGAGTACGATATTTCTGTTTTCCCAGCTAGTCAACACCTGGTCTATAATTAGCAAATTTGGAAGTATGGCACCTTGAAGAGGGTCGCCCTCTTTCGTAAGGCACTGTGCGTCCTTCACTCACTTTAAGCTGGTGCTGGGAGTTGGACCCAAAGTCTTGCTCATTCTAGGCAGAGGCTCTACAGGTGCCCCCCCCCCCCGCAGAAGTGTTTCTCACAAGTTAAGCCTCATTGTGACTTGATAGATAACTAATAATAATGCTCAAAGGCCTACACATTGTTCTATCTCGTCCTCTAGTTTCTTTTTATTTTTACTGTGTACCTAATGTGCACAGTACATTGAAATTTTATAAAAGAACTTACCAATTACCATTGTGGGTTCTACAAAGAGAGCTTAAGATGGCCTTCTCTTTCCAGAGGAAACAAAAAGAAATGCCATCAGTATCCTTATCGGACTGCCTACTCTACTATTCTCTTCTGAAAAAACAAAACTAGCTATCAGAAGGGTAGTTAGTAGCAATAATAGTTTATTATAATCAAAACTAGACATCAGGCATTCTGACCAAGACATATTTAAAAACACACAAAAGTGTGATCTCTCTCTTTAAAAACCCAAGTTCTATAGTACATTCTCAGGTTATTTTTCCTTTCAGTATGTGTGGATACACCTGCATTTAAATGAATAAAATAGTTGATTAAGAAAACAGGAAACTTCTGATCTTTGTCACGGGCATGAGTTCGTAGGCGCAGCAGGCCTAGAAAAGGCAACATGCCAGTTGCAGGAACATAGGGGACTCTATGGAGACGCTTCGAGAAATCTCGACCAGGAACTTAAACTGATCAGAGAGTCGGGCTCCGGAACAAACATGAGGCGTGGAGGACTAAATTTACCCTTGCCAAGATTCGAAAGGCCTTCTGGGAGCTGCTGATGCCACTCGGAAAGACCCCATGCCGTCTTTCTGAAGGCAATGCTCTGCTGAGGAGACTTGCTCGCACTGGGGTGCTGGATGAGGGCAAGATGAAGCTGGATTACTTCCTGGGCCTCCGGATTGAGGAGGCAGAGGTTATCAACCTGTGGGTCACAACCCTTTTTGGGGGGTCAAATGACCCTTTAACAGGGTTCACCTAGGACCATTGGGAAACCATTGTAATACTTGAATTACAATTCATAACAGTAGCAAAATTACAGTTATGAAGTAGCAATAAAAATAATTTTGTGGTTGGGGTCACCACAACATGAGAAACTGTATGAAAGGGTCGCAGCGTTAGGAAGGTTGAGGACCACTTATAGGCAATGTCTAGAACAGGCAAATCCAAAGAGACAGAAAACAGGTTTGTGGTTTCAGATGCTGAGAGGCTGGGAGAGGAAGAGACTGCATGATGGGTCTGGAGTTTTAGGTTGAAAGTAGATGGTAGTGATGTTCACATGCATTAGGAATGTACTGAATGTCATTGGCGGCACTTTATATGTATATCTTTTTGCTACTTTGAGGATATGTGGGGGAAAAGTTTCTCCTATAAGTCTCCCAATACAAAATATTCCCATGCATACGATATATAGAAGCTTTTCTGACCAATACCAAACAAGCAGCAGACCAGAAACTTACTAGCCAGGTGTCTGACCTCTGATTCTATTTAATTCTCCCATCATCTCCCTGGAGGCAGCATCAGCTTCCACAGGTGAGGGCTCAGATCCCACACAGATGCCTGTGTTGGCTTAATTAATAAATCAGGTACAACAAGAGCTATACAGTAACTAATGATAAAATACATACAGTATATTGAGACTGCCGGAATCCCCACTCTTACGCCTTTGGGCCATTACCAAACAAAAGAACAGTTACAGTGCTGCCACAATGATCAGTCTGAAAGCCACCGTGAGCATGAAATGAGTGATGGTCTGGCAGAGGGTGAATCTAACCGAAAGGGGATGACTCCAGTCCTGGGCTGCCTAGGGCCTGATATGGGTGCTCTCATGGCTAGCACTGGCTGTGAGCACAGGCCCCGCTCTGGAGGAGGTATTGCTGAAGCCTAGTGCCACATCAGGAACCCTCATTTTACTTGGTGGTCAGCTGATGTTAGAGAAACCCTCGCCTGCACTATGACAGGACTTTCACAGCAGAGAGCAGTTTCTGAGTGAGACGGGCTTAGTCCCAGCGTGGAGAAACGAGGAAATGTCTAATGTCGTGGTGTGGTTTCACCCAGACTGAGAAACCTGCACGTAGACAGCTTCATTGTCTTTACTGAAAGAATGCAGAAGGCAGTTTTGGACAATAGTCTCCTTGGGATTTCTAATTAGCAAGATGGTTGTTTTTCTTCGACCACGTCAAAGAAGAGAAGAACGGCATGGGGGGGGGCGGCTTGAGGGGAAGGTCGGTGAGGAAGAAGAAAAGTCTCCCTTATTATAGGTGTTTAGATTTGATATAAATAACAATTTCCTGTACAAAGCTCCCTCAACAGATAAAAGAGCCATTGTGCTGCCTGGTGCGACAGAAAGTCGATGGTTGGGATTTGCACTGCCTCAGAGTAGGGGTAATTATCCCCGGCCAAGCACACTAACTTTCCACCCCGCCCCTCAGTTTTATAGTCTCAACCTTAGTTTTGTACCTTTTGGATTAATCCATGATTTTCTTTGGCTTTTGCAAGAAGGCAGTCTCTCAGGAAACAATTGAATTAAACTTTGTTTGTTTTTAAAGCGCTCTTAC